TCAACCAGTAATTACTTAAATATCTTTGTCTATTTTACATCCTGTCATCTTGCCAACTGTGTGTAAATCTAAATTCTAAACTTGCTCTCCCGACTGTTGGCATATATGACTGTTGGAGCCCGTTAAAGACTGTGATATATGCCGTTTTGGCCATCGCTGAGACTCCATGATCAAGAATATATTATGTTCAAGTATAGCTTTCTGTTATCAAACGTGTATCATCCGATGTAGGCTTGGATACATGTGCAATACCTATGCAAGATGTCCGATGGAAAAATCAAAAGGCCATTGGACATTCCATTTGTCAAATGGATCAAATGGACCTCCAATTTTCCATTGGACTTTTGCGTGTCCATTGGATCCAATGGACAAATGGAATGTCCATTGGTCAGCAATGGATCAATCGGAACTATGCATCAACGGAATAAGAGACCATGTGAAGGTTGCCGATCGGAACAATGCATCAACCGGATAAGAGCTTCCGCGTTTTTACCATTACGTAATTAGGCTAACAGGTTGCAAGACCCCATGTGGACATGATTATGAAACCAGAGAGATGTTCCAATGGATCCAATGGATCCATTCTGAGAAAGCTACACGCAATATCAATATAATATGTTGTTGCTTCGTTCTCAAGAGACCACGTATATAACGCGGGGAAGATCCTTATATCAATATGATATAATACGTTATAATTGCTTCGTTCTTAAGAAATCACTCAATATATCAATATAATATGTTGTGAACGTTCAGTTAAGAAACTGATCACGCAACTAGCAAAGCATAATATGCTATATATGTCGTTATATATGTCGTTCCTTTGTTCTCAGGGGACGCGCAAGATATCAATAGTTTATAATATATTTTTGTTTCGTTCTCAAGAGACCATGCACATACATAACACGGGAACGGGAGATCCTTATATCAATAATATGTAATATGTTGTTGCTTCGTTCTTTTAAGAACTTCGTTCTTAAAAGAACTCACGCAATATATATAAATATAATTTTCCTTCGTTCTCAAGAGCCCACACGGTGGGCATAAAAGACAGCGAATTTGGCCAAGTACATATAACTTTCTCTCGTTAGTTTGGAATATCACGAAAAAATCAGCCATTTTGTTACTAAAAATAGATTTTTTTCGAATTTGAATCGCCATATCTTCGCACTGCCTTGTTGTATTTTTAATGTTTTTGCAATTTTGAGATCCTTATAGGACAATCTTTTCGAAAAAGTTACTAGTATGTTCTTAGCTCGTGTTTATTTTTTTGGCGCCAAAGTTGGCACGTCATTTTCCCGCCAAAATGTAACAAAATCGAAAAACAAAAAACATACGATTTTTAGGAATATTAAGTTCTATCCTGCGAGGGAGTTTCGTGATATTCCAAACTAACGAGAGAAAGTTATATGTACTTGGCCAAATTCGCTGTCTTTTATGCCCACCGTGCCACGTAAATAACACGGGAACGTGAAGATCCTTATATCAATAATATAGTATGTTGTTGCTTCGTTCTTAAGACCTTACGTAATATATCAATAGAATATGTTGTTGGTTCATTCGGTTAAGAAATCACGCAATATAGCAAAGCATAGGCTAATATGCTATATAGGCCTACGTCGTTGCTTTGTTCTCAAAAGACGCGCAATATAGCTAATAAAGTAGTAATATAGTAGTTGCTTCGTTTTCAAAAACCATGCACGCAATATATCATATAGCTGAATATAATATGTTGTTGTTTCTTTCTTAAGAAACCTACACGCAATATATCAATAGTATGTCGTTTCTTCGTTCTCAAGAGACCACGTATATAACAGGGGAAAGGAAAGATCCTCATATTAATATGATATAATATGTTGTTGCTTCGTTCTTAAGAAATCACGCAATATAGCAGAATAATTATGTTGTTGGTTCGTTCAGTTAAGAAACTCATCACACAATATAGCAAAGCATAATATGCTATATATGTCGTTGCTTCGTTTTCAAAAACCACGCAATATATTATATATCAATATAATATGTTGTTCTTTCTCTCATAAAGTCGTGTTTACACTACAAGCCTTGGCCTACATTTTGGCAGTGTAAACAGACTTTGGCCTAGCCTTGGCCTGACCTATAGGCCAGGAAATCTAGCTGGTACGCTTGTGGGAATGTAAACACTTACGGCTCTGGCCTTATTTTCATGGCAACGTGTGTCCACAGGGCACTGTGAATATCGGACAAGCGGACAACGTCACAACACATAAAAATACACAAAATTAATTACAAAATTCTAGGCCAAACTGAACCAGTCTCAAAAAAATAATGTTATGGTGTAAACGCGCCACATTTAGCAAGGCTTGTAGTGTAAACAGGACTTTAGTCAAAGCTGCTAAAACTACCGCCTATGCGCAGGATATAACCGTCGTGGGAACAGACTGTAAACTCAGAAAGTCTTTGGCAGTGTGTGTGCGTCTTTTTTGGCGGAATACGACGTCTTATCATGCATTTAATTACAACGTTTCCTTTAATTAATTGCCTCCGGCATCGGCTTTAGTTACCTACCGCCTGGTCATCTTGTTGCGCTCTGCCTATGTCTACTTCAATTCATTTCGAACGCAAAGTTCTATTAGTTGCTTTCTCAAATCTTAATGCAAGGTTTAGATATGAAGATGGACATATATAAATATATTCTAGGGCTTGTTCAAGAATATATTTGCCACAGAACATGAATGTAGCCTATCGCATATTTTTAGGTATATATACTAACTGGAGATATTACCTTATGCCTTATATTCGATAGGCCTATATAAAGTTTAATTGTGTTACCAACCCTATAAGGTTGAATAACAATGCATGCAAGCGTATTTGACGTTGCAAATGCAAAACAAATAAATGCAGTGAAGTACTGAATAACCATCGACATTTAACCACAACTCCAAGCGCAAGCTTCCACAGTCGAAAGCTTGTATTCAAATCCAACATTTTTAAATCTTTTCAACGTATTTTTAACGTATCAAGCCAAAGTCACTAGGCACAACATATATGTTTCATAATTATATATCAATACTGCATGGAAACGCCGAAAATGTTTAATCCTAGTCGGATAGAATTTCGCGGCGGCCTCATGTTTCATGCTGTTGTGTTTATAAATTTAAACTGATAACCTTTGCCCAATATACTCTGTAGCTGTACTCACATGGTAATTCTTATTCTCTACATTTACACTAAAAATACAAGTAGAAAAATAAAAACTTATCAAGAACGCAAAAATTAATGAAAAGAAGAATGATTACATATTTCAATATGCTAGCAGTCACTACTCACTAACTGCTCTGGCGATATGCCCGCACGAATCAATCACTTGCCCATTTGAATCCTCATGCTTTCGCGTCTATGACTATAACATCTTTAAAATTCAATATGCTAGCAGCCACTATTCCCTAACTGCTTTAGCAATATGCCCGCACGCGAAATCACTTGCCCATTTGATCCATCTGACAAATATTTTTCCAACGGAAAACACGGTGTCCAATGGATCTAATGGATCCATTGGACACTTTCGTTTGGCTATCTCAATGGCCTAGTATCTACATGACGTCCATGTGCTTGTCATTACGTCATTCAAATACATGGTAATTGACCAACTGAAAAAGCAAATGTCCGATGGAAATTCCATTTGTCCATTGGATCCAATGGACAAACAAAAATCCAATGGACATTTCCAGGTCCATTGGATCCATTGGATCCAATGGACACTTTCGTTTGGCTATCTCACTGGCCTAGTATCTACATGACGTCCATGTGCTTGTCATTACGTCACTCAATACGTGGTAATTGACCAACTGAGAAAGCAAATGTCCGATGGAAATTTCACTTGTCCATTGGATCCAATGGACAAACAAAATTCCAATGGACATTTCCAGGTCCATTGGATCCATTGGATCCAATGGACACTTTCGTCTGGCTATCTCACTGGCCTAGTATCTACATGATAATAATGATCACGGACGGAGTACCACAGGGTTCTATCCTTGGTCCTCTATTGTTTCTCGTTTTTATAAACGATTTGCCTCTACATATCAACACCCAAGTAGATTTATTCGCTGATGACACTACCTTACTCGCTGCCACTGATTATAATGATATTAATGAACTTAATGAGAAATTATCTCTGGAAGTCTCTAACGTTCAAAACTGGGCCATTACCAATAAACTGCCTCTCAATACCAGTAAGACCAAAACCATTCTGATTTCTGGTAAACGTCTTAAAGCTAAGCTTACTCCTGAAAATCAAACTCTCGATATTAAATTGAACGATGGTTCATTAGAACAAGCGCACACTGTGAAATTACTGGGCTTTAATATTGATGAAGATTTATACTTTGACACTCATGTTGATATAATGGCAATGAAACTATCGAAACGTATTGGAATATTGAAGTCTATAAAATCCTACCTGCCTCGAAACGAACGTATTCTTTTCTACAATGCTATGATCAAACCTCTATTTCTCTATTGTAGTATAACCTGGACAAACTGTAGTAAGAACAATATCACTAAACTTTTCAAACTTCAAAAACGCTGTGCCAGAATTATCCTTGACGCTGAACCTCGCCATTCCTCGATTAATCTATTTAATAATCTTGGTTGGTTACCCTTTTACGTAGAGTCGGATATCAGAAAATGTATTATGATCTACAAGCGTACACTGTAAAAACAGATTGGTCGAAATGACCAAAAAAAATTGGTCACCTGGATGCATCTGAGAGAACCAATTAAAAATGGTCGTTTTAACCAATAAAATTAACCATTAATTAATTGGTCATTTCAACCAATAATAATTGGTTAATATAACCAAATATTTTTGGTTGTTTTGACCAATTAATAAAATGGTTAATTTTATTGGTTAAAACGACCATTTTTAATTGGTTCTCTCAGATGCATCCAGGTGACCAATTTTTTTTGGTCATTTCGACTAATTTTTTTTGGTCATTTCGACCAATTTAATGTCACAACCTATACACTGCATTAAAATGAAGAAAATTTGTGAGTCTTACATCACTGAACATGTATACATGGAATTTAATAAAAAATATATCAATACAATATAATAAGACAATTAAATAAACTAGAGCTACCGGTACCTTAGAACTATGTGAGAGCAATTGCAAAGGAATACAATTACAACTGCTGTGCTGAGTGGTTATATTACTACCTGAAAAAAAAACAAGCAGAAACTCAACATTTCGAGCGAAGGGTCTTTGCTCAAAACGTTGAGTTTCTGGGGTTTTTTTTCAGGTAGTAATATAACCACTCAGCACAGCAATTTCACATTGGTACTATCCACACTGGTACTGGTACAGACAGTTTTAATACAATTACAAGCCTGCCAGCATGAATTGAACCTGCAGCCCTGCAATTCTACTGCAGCCCTCTGACTTAAAGAGTCCTTTTGCCAAGATGTAACCATAACTTTCTGTATAATTATACTATGATGGTGGTGTCACTGGTAGTATATTAAATAAACTGGGATGACACTAGTATTGTATAAATGAACTCTTGGTTAGCTTGATGGATTCTTGGCGCTTGGACTCTCAGGGCTTGATGGACTCTCGGCTGTTAAGGAACTGTTCAGAATCACAGGGCAACAGGTTCCATTCCCGGCACAGTACTTATTACATAGTTATTGTTCAAAATTTCCATCTACAGAAATTTGGCTTAAATTAACCCATTGAGTGGCAGCACTCTCTCCTTTATGAGTAAAATTGTCTGGCATTAGACAGAAAAAATAATAAGGTAGAGCGCATTGCCCCATAAAAGGTTAACATTCTCTTCAATGTAGAATATTTACAAGTTAATATAATATACCTGTACTGCATGTAGTGTCACTGCTCAATCAAGCATCTCATACAAGTAAATTAGTTAAAATTTAAAAGTACAAGCTTCATACCACAAGTCAGCAACTCCATTCCTTGTATGGTTTGTTAATCCATAAACATACTGTACTATCCAGCAATTAAGAATACCATTTTCCAAATAGACCATGAAGTAGTTAGCTTAGAATGCCATTAATGATTATATATATTGCCACTTGTTTAGACAACTTTCCTTCTCTTGGGAAGCTTTTATTAATAACTTTTCATTCAGCATCAGGATATATAATGAATCCATATTAAATACAATCTCTATTATGAAAAAAATACATTATTAAGCTTGATATATAATGGTAGCAAATTATTGATTGATTGACAATTAATTTCCTATTTTTGGTTAGTGTACAAAGCAAGAAATACAAAATTCAAATGCTTTCACTTGACTGTCTTGACATGTTTAATGTAAGGCTAGCATGCACTTGAAGTAACATCTGCATCCAATACAACTATTCTCACTGGTAAAAGACTGTTTAAAACACTGGTGCATAACAACTGTTTTTTCCAGTATTCCTAATTGAAAAAATATCATTTTATATAATCCAGCAAGGTAGATTTAGTGGCTGTTTATATGAGGTGATGGCACCTGTGTACCTGATCGAGCTGGCCCAGTTTTGGTGAGATCCAGGATTTGTTATTATATTCTATATATTTCAACTTGTGTTTTACTTTATAATATAGAACTGAGCTGGTCTTTTTTAGGAAGATGGGGGCTTCGGTGGCAAAGCTGTTATATGCACTTGCCGTTCACCTCTAAAGCTGCAGGTTCAAGCCTGATCAGTGAGAACTTTCTCAATGCGACTCAAACCCAGTCCTCATGTGAAGAGTAAAAGTCAACACTCTGTCGAAAGTCACAGGTTTTCTCCAGGTACCCCGGTTTCCTCCTACAAGGAAAGTTGACAGGGTGGGTGATGTAAAAGAGCCAACAGTAATAGGCACATGCTGTTGTGGTGACATCTAGTTGGCAAAGCTAAATAAATAAACTTAAGATACTGCCTCAATTGACCCAAAATGTTGCTAATGCCAAACTAAGATTTTCCATATAAACTACATACAATGACCCAGGATTTGGCACAGTATTAATGCTTTGTTTAGGCATAATGTAATCTTCTAAATCACATTTCCCAATCAATTTGAATATTAACCCATTAAGCTGTAGAGTTGGAGTTTCCCCATTGACGAGTAAAATCATTTGGCCAGAGGTGTAACTTAACACTTGCCTGGGGCAAGTGAATATCATGATGGGCAAGTAAACACTTTATCTTGCTGTCCGATTGGGCAAGTTGCCTTGCCACTATTCATTGTCAGATATATTTTGTTTTATAGTGCATGGACTTGGTTCAAATTTCGTTTTTTGTGCACCAAAGCTATATCTGAGGCAGTATAACATAGCCATATAGCACAGTGGGAGAACAGGTTGACATGTTGTCCCCTTAATTTATACCCTCTACCTAGGTACCCCAAGTGGCCATTGTCTGATGGCAAGTGAATTTTAATCAGAGCAACTAATCTTTATGACCAACTTGCCCGAGGGCAACTGGTCAAAAAAGTAAAGTTACACCACTGCTGGCGATAGACAAGTAAATAAAATAAGTAGGTCGCACTAGGGCACATTGCGGCTCAATGGGTTAACTAGAGGCTTACTGTAGTTTACGAAACGAAACGAAACGAAATCTGCAGTTTGCGAAATTTGCAGTTTGCGAAATCTGTAATTTGCGAAATCTGTAATTTGCGAAATCTGCAGTTTGCGAAATCTGTAATTTGCGAAATATCTATAGTTTAGGGTAAAATAAAAAATGTTCACATGTTCCGAGGGTGAGGCGTCAGCAGTACAATTAAATTCTGTGCAAGTTAACCTACCTGACTACACGAAGTCATAATTGCGATAAAACGTTATCACAATAAATTGCTTTACTTGTATTAGTTATATTTCAGCCGTGGCAGTGTCAAATAAACTTCTTTATATAATTATATATCTGAGACTGCAAAATGTAAAAGTTTAAGATTGAAAATACACCATTGCCAGCAAATTGATTGGAAATTTTGCCCTGACTATGGGATTTTCCCGGAAATTCTTCAGATGGCACAAGTGGATCGCAGCCGCGAGGTTTGACATAAAAATGATGGTGATCGCATCGAAAACTTTCGAAAAGGTAAACATTTTTTTGACTTTCTGCTATATGTTTTCGCAAACTGCAAATTTGAATAGCAAACTATCTAGAGATTTCGCAAACTGCAGATTTCGCAAACTGCAGATTTCGCAAACTGCAGATTTCGCAAATTACAGATTTCGCAAATTACAGTTTCGCAAAGTGCAGATTTCGTTTCGTTTCGTTTCGTAAACTACAGTAAGCCTTAACTAGAGACATTGTCAGATTTTTTGGTTAACTCATTAAGCTGCAGAGCTTCCCTACTGAGGAGTAAAAGCGTCTGGCATTTAGCAAGCAAAAAAATAAGTAGGGCGTACTGGGGCGCATTGCGGCTCAATGGATTAAAAGATCTCTGTGATTTTTTTGTAAGTTACATTTCAAAACTGTCTGCAAAAATATGTCAGTTTATTTTATTGGAAATTATACAACTCAGTCTGGGTGATTTGTTTTGGCAAGCATGTTCATCTAAAGAGGCTCATGTAAACAGACATTCATCCAGTGAAAGCGGGCTATAACCAGGTTAGTTACCTGGACTGGCTTGCCTTTATATAAGCGGCCCCTTGCACATGTTTTAGGCTGAGTGGCTGACTGATAGAGCCATACATTGGGAAAGGTTGTCTACATGCTACTAATATGAATATATACTAAAACTGTCTTTGCCAGTGTGGGTATTACCAATGTAAAAATACTACCTTAAAAAACAACTCGAGTCGACGTTTCGAAATTTATGAAGGCCCTTCGTCAATAGTGTAATTATGCATATTTCAAACAAATCACATTATTATAAAAGTATACATTAGTCTAGGACCTGTATATGAGTTTGTATGCATTTCATTTAGGACAGATAATCTCAACTGTTTTAGGGCAAGTTGACCATGACGGTCAACATGGTAACGCTGCCCGAACCCCAATCCGGGACGAAACGTCCGAAACTGACCACACCCAAAAACGACGCTTTCGCCATACTGCTATCTACCAAACCATAAAAGCTTTGGCTATTCTGAAGTGCTTATATAGTTCAGAGATGGTACTTTTTGGGGTGGTCATTGGTAAGTGTGAAATGCCTAGCACTAATATTTCACAAGAAAATGACCATGCAATAATCATAGTTAAACGTCAATTTGTGGCTTGCAACTTCAGATAAACAGCAGTGGACTTACATTACCTTTTTTCCTAAATCTTCTTGATAGAAACATAATTGGTACTTATTTAAATATATTATCACTGGTTTGGTGTAAATAGTTAATATTTTCTGACCGAAATAATAATTTGAAATGTGCCTACCTCCTGCAAATGGACGTATTTGGCCAAGGTCTCCACTTTACTCCGCTGTTTATCGGCGATCTCGTCGACATCCTACAAAAAATGTAAATCATCTCAGACATAATGGTATCATGAACATTTTAAACAAGTTTCAACTTGGTTTCAAGTAGATCATACCTGTTTAACCATCGACAAGGGAAATCCACAACTTTGTCCAAATTCGGCGCCATTTTGTCGCTTGTTAACAATTCAGCCTTGTTACTCTTCCATCCAAGCCATTTCCATTGCACAAATAACAAATTTAACCCTTTGTTAAGGGTATTAAAATAAAAATACAAATGAAATATGCGAAATGCAGCATTTTATCACCCTGTAAGATCTTGCTCACGAGTCTTTCAAAACATTCCGTACAAATCTCGCGTGACAAAGTAACAGGGACGTGACAGGGGGGGTGAATTATTTCACGAAGATAGAAGAAGGCTGGGTGAAATAGACTAAAAGCTAAAGACTGACAATCATACAAACGTTTGTTTTATTTCTTGTAGCGACAAATATATACATATTATTATTTATTAATATGAACAAGTCATACAAATTAAATGCTGATTGTTGGTTTAATGGTTTTACGATACTGTGTGGGGCTTTGCTTTCATTTTTCAAGTTTCTACCCCCTCTGTCACGTCCCTGTTGCTAAACCACGCGAGATTTGTACGAAATGTTTTGAAGGACTCGTAAGCAACATTTTACCGGGTGATAAAATGCTGCATTTCGCATATTTCATTTGTATTTTTATTTTAATAC